TCAGAAAAATTAAAATTACTAGAAGATTTAAAAGTGTATACTATAATGATACAATGTGGAAATGTGTCCCTGGACTTTAGATTCTGCCCCTGTGTCTATACCTGTCTTTAATATCCCTAGGTATATCTGTCTAGCTGTCTGTGATAGAAAATGAGAAAGAAAGAAAACAGGAATAATTGGAGGAGAAGAATGAAGTCTAATGAAAATTGCTAGATTTAAAAATACCAAACCAACATGCAAGTCATTATAAAGTTTTACCAATACTGTTTATGCTAGCATTCTTAAAGCCATGATGGCTCATTTTACTCATCTGAAATCCATTAATCTGAAAACTATGTGACTGATTTGCTTTTATCTGCTCCTCCTGACAATTTAAGATAGCTCTCAACTAGATGGCCACAGCAGTTCCCTAAAATTATTCTAGAAATGTAGACATGGTAGCAGCCTCTCCAGCCTTGTCATCCTAACATGATTATTTAACTGTCTGATCATTCTATCAGTTCAGTGGATGGTAGGCAGGAAAAAAATTTTGCCAAATTAAAGGACTAATATCTAGACACATCTGATGAACCCCCGATTTGGCATCAAAATTAGTCTATTCATCATTCATGTTACCAACAAGAAATGAAATTATATATATATATATATATATATATATATATATATATATATATATATATATATATATATGAAAGTGCATTCTTAACATTCAGTCCACATAGATAGGTACCAAATTTGCTGATATTTTATTTCAGTCTTAAGATTCAATTCAAAAACCATTGCAGAAAAAAGTTTTGACAGAGTAAGCAATATGTAAAGAAAATTAATAATTTTATAACATGATTTAAAACATATGAAATAACTTCCAGTGTATGCTTTCTTCAATTCCTGTCTGTTTATTGCATAAATAAAGTTGCTAAACCTGACTATTTGGAGTAATCACTGAAGACAGAGGATGGAGAAAGGATACATTTGGCCCTGTGTGCCCACTGAAGCCAACCAACATCATTGAAGGTCAAAGTCTGATGGATGGTGAGCCCTTGAGGGACATAGAATATTATTGCAAATTGTTTCTTCCTTTTCACATCCCATGCATTCTTTCCATGTTCAGTTTCCTCCTGAACTTTCAAGTTTTATTACTGGTAGTCTTATGAATATATTATTTAAAGCCCTGAGATTTTTAGCAGCCTCCTGATAATCTATCACCTTGGGAAAAGGCAGGAAAAATGCATGAGTATATGCTGGGCAAACTCCAAGGGAAGATAAAGGATTTACCTTTTATTTTCTTTTGTCCACAAATAAAATTGATGCATTTAGGATGCAGAAATTTTTTGCTGGTGAATACCTTTTGAGAAAGTGTATGTGGTTTAAAATCCCTATGAATAAAAACAAACACCCCAAAGCTTCGGTTAATTATTCCATTTCCCCTACAAATTACAGAATTAATAGGTTAAGATTAATGCTGATAAATATATAGACCCTGTTGTTGAAGATCTGACAGTTAGTGAGTTTTACTCCTGTTTAAATTTGACTTTACCTTCTGTGGAAATGCGTCAAAATGCTAATTGAGATACTCGCTTCTTGCTCCAATTCTATTTAAGCATGTTATCATTGAAAATTCCTGGGTCCTCCATTTGTCAGTGCGAGTAACCCTCTGAAATGGCTTTGGTAAGACAGTTAGTTACCTGTATATGCATGGTACCTAAGTTTGATGCACAAAGATGCCAACTAGAGTGATTACCAACGTTGGGACAATGGAGACAGAAAGACCTCTGGGGCTAATCTTGTCTAATTGTAGAACTTAGGGTCAATGAGAGACCTTTTCTTAAAGTGGACAATGATTTTGATATATGAGGTTGTATTACAGCGTCTGCAGGCACAGTTATATGAATGCATATTAAATGGTGAACCCATGTGCACACACATTAACATGTGCACATATGCACAAAATTCACACACTGAATTCTAATATAAAGATTTTTTTCCAAAAACTCACTTGGCTATGTCTTATTTTATTCAAACTATATTTGCCTTGTTCCTTTTTTTAACTTAATGAAGCTCCAGAGGAAGAAAGAAACACCTGTATGAAAACTAAAGACCAATTGTTCTTTACATGGAATTCAGAATGGTTGGTATCTTCCCTTGGATACCGATAGCTTATCTTTTACCCCTCGGCTTTTATAACAGCTCTTCTCCCCATCTCTTACCTGTGCTTGTACAAGAGGATGGCTTGTAAGGCCTACATTTTATATGGTCTCAGTGGTAATTCGTAATAAACCCATGTTGTTTTTATCTGTGGTAGCGGTCTTATAATATTCATTTTATACAGGCATGGAGACAATGGGAGAAACAGTTTAGAGTAATGGGAGTCTATGCTATTAAAAGACTGAGAATTGCACTAAAAGACTGATAAACAAATATCAAAGTCATTATTTTTTAAGTGTGAGAGATCAATTAACTCAAAGGTGGCATTCTACTCCATGTAGTTTTCTAGCCCTATATATTTAATGGTGCCCAAAATAAATCATGTTCTTATATTCATAAAATGCATCCCAGACAGATTAAATCTGCAAAGATCAAAAAATAAGTCATTAATAAATGTAATGTCTTAAGTATTAAAATAAATTTGTTTTAGGAACAAAAGAAATCATGGAAGACCTTTTGGGTGTTCTTCGAAGAGTTATGTTTTAACAGAAAAAAATCTTGTAATCATTTAAATCTAGTAATAGCAGTTAAAGGTCTAGAAACAAAGATAGACTTAAGGGTATAACAAACCAAAAATATTGGAAGTATTTTGTCCCTAGGATGAATTATCTGTTATCTATCTACGTTACTTTTCTAGTCTCTGTAACTCATTGATTGGTCACATACCAGAAAACCAACACTGGGAGGCACTCATCTCGAACAGAGATAGTAATGCAGTTTGGGAATGGCCTTTTGCCCTCTGTTGGGGGGGAAAAACTGTCTCAGCTATCCATCTGGGACAAAAAAAAAAGAATCCTGTCAACCATTATCAAAATGATTTCCTTAAGAGCCATTTAACAAGATTCATTAATTTAAAGAGATTAAAAACAGTCTTATTAAAGGACATTTTGACAGGGAAAGGGGGTATAATAAAAGCTGCTAAGCAGCCGTCTCAACTCTTATCAAAGATGCTGCAGAGTTCTGAGCAAAGTCTTCATTCAAAGTGAAGTTCACGATCTGATTCTATTAATAGAAGTCTTCAAATGTAACAGAAAATAAAGTTTGCGGTCGTTTAGAGTACTAACTGTGCTACTTACTGGATCACAGAGCATTCTGTGTTTCCCGAGGGAAGATTTCCAAAAGAAATGTCAAGGACAAAGATGGAAGGACAAGCCCACACATGGGGGACAGCCTAAGAAGCCTAAATATTTCAAACAAGGACAATTACTTCTGTTGATCCTGGAATTGAACCTAGGCATTTGCTTATGCTACGCTAACCCTCTAGCACTGAGCTAAAACTCCATATCTGGAACTAACTTTTAATCAACTACCCAGTGTGTTTTCATTCCCAACTAGCTTGGAAACAGCAGTAGCTTACTTAGAGATTTTTATTTCTACGTTATATATATTACAAGGGCACTGAACTGAAATGTACCTACTTTGAAACAATATTTATACTTTCTATAATCTGGGATAACTACAAGAATATAAGACCTATTGGAAAAATTGCCTAAGAAGATCAGAAGATGATTTTAATTTAGACACAAATGTAAACAAGTATATGAAAAAAGAGAAATATTAACCACATGTATATATACCCCAAATACAAGCATTCAGATTGCATAGTACAGACATACAGCTGAAGAGTTAAAGATGTATTCAACACATTTCCTAAATAACTTATCACTGGTTAAAATAAGGAAAAGGCTCTGTGCTTATTGGATTTTCTGGAAAACAGATACTGATACAAATGAAAAAATACAAGTAGTTTAGCAGGAGGGGGTTCATAGATGTTTCAGAAGATTACAAAGGAAGGAAGAGAGGCATCTAAGCTATTTTTCTTGTGGAAAGACAGAAAAGTGGAAGTAAGACTGTATAGGGAAATTTCAGACTGTAGTCTAAGCTTGGAAATTTCTTGGATAACCAAGGAGGCAGGAGTATAGTATTGATTGCCCATTAAATGAGGTCCAGTTTAGATAGAATCGACCAGGATCCATTGTTTGTTTTGGACTAAGTCTTCCATTAGGGTGGTTCTCGTGGACTACTGTCTTAAGAAGAGGATCCAGACAGCACTATTAGCTGTAGATTGCTGGTCAGCTAATACTCCCCTTTCCCCTGAATAGAAAGTTCTCTCTTATAGAGAGATATTTATGAGAACAGAAGATAAAATTGACCAGGAACTTTAGTAGCACAAATCCTGAAGCTAAGCCTTTGTTTCTTTGCTACAAGTTGGTAATGCACCCAGCGTGGTGAAGCAAAAAAGAGGCAGAGCCCCAATGTATCTTCATGAGTTCAAGGCCAGCTTGGTCTACAAAGTGAATTCTAGGACAGCCAGGGCTACACAGGAAAACCAGAATCTCAAAAGACAAACAAACAAACAACAACAAAAACAAGGAAAAGCAAAGCAGAACAAAACAAAACAGCAAAAAGTTATGGCTTTATTGGCAATGTCCTACTGAGTGCCTGAGATGTCTGATGTGTTTATCCAAAGTGTCTTTGATCCCGTGCTGACCAAAGGTCAGGGATGCCAGAAGGAAAATGTTTTTTTTCTGGTCTCTCCTGACCTAAATGAGCACTTCTGATTGGAAGGTATGCCTGTGGATGTGGCCGAAGGATACATGGATACCTTATGGTTGGGCCAGGAGGAATGAATACCTTATAGTCCTCCCCTTGTCTCATTTCAGTTTCTGCCATAATTCCCATAAGAAGCTCCTAGAGAAATATTCAATGAGTTCCACCTGTAACCAGGAAGCTATTTGCAATTGTTTCCTGCTAGGAAATGAAAAGTAGTTCTCAGCTGCAGAGGAGGGAGAGAAGGAAGAAGAAACTCACCATTCCCTGCCCAGCCCCAGCCCCACGCCCAGAGCAATCAACAGTTCCAGACTTGCTACAGATCCGGCTCCGAATCCAGTAGCCGCATCCCTAAACCATGGCTGGTCCCTTCCCACGTCTGCTGTCTGCCCGCCCCGGACTTAGACTTCTGGCTTTGGCTGGAGCTGGGTCTCTCGCCGCTGGGATTCTGCTCCGCCCGGAATCTGTACGAGCCGCCAGTGAACGGAGACTGTATCCCCCAAGCGCTGAGTACCCAGACCTCCGAAAGCACAACAGCTGCATGGCCAGTCACCTGACCCCAGCAGTCTATGCACGGCTCTGCGACAAGACCACACCCACTGGTTGGACTCTAGATCAGTGCATCCAGACTGGCGTGGACAACCCTGGCCACCCCTTCATCAAGACTGTGGGCATGGTGGCTGGAGATGAGTCCCTACGAGGTATTTGCTGAACTCTTTGACCCTGTGATCCAGGAGCGACCCAACGGATATGACCCCCTAACAATGAAGCACACCACTGACCTTGATGCCAGTAAAATCCGTTCCGGCTACTTTGATGAGAGGTACGTATTGTCCTCAAGAGTCAGAACTGGCCGAAGCATCAGAGGACTCAGTCTGCCTCCAGCCTGCACGCCGGCAGAGCGACGAGAGGTAGAACGTGTGGTGGTGGACGGACTGAGCGGCCTGAAGGGTGACCTGGCTGGACGATACTATCAGCTCGGTGAGATGACGGAGGCTGAGCAGCAACAGCTTATAGACGACCATTTTCTGTTTGATAAGCCTGTGTCCCCATTGTTGACCGCAGCAGGAATGGCTCGAGACTGGCCAGATGCCCGGGGAATCTGGCACAACAATGAGAAGAGTTTCTTGATCTGGGTGAACGAGGAGGACCACACACGGGTCATCTCTATGGAGAAAGGAGGCAACATGAAGAGAGTGTTTGAAAGATTCTGCCGGGGCCTCAAAGAGGTGGAGAGGCTGATCCAGGAACGAGGCTGGGAGTTCATGTGGAATGAACGTTTGGGATACATCCTGACCTGTCCATCTAACCTGGGCACTGGACTTCGGGCAGGAGTGCACATCAAACTGCCCCTGCTAAGCAAAGATAACCGTTTCCCAAAGATCTTGGAGAACTTAAGACTCCAAAAGCGCGGAACAGGAGGCGTGGACACCGCTGCCACAGGCAGTGTCTTTGGCATCTCTAATCTGGACCGACTTGGCAAGTCAGAGGTGGAGCTG